TATTAACTCTCAGGGATAGCTTGGTGTTCGGTTGTTTAGGAAATCATTCCTTTTGTAAATGTATCCAAACCAAGTCTCCCATATTAAAAGTTTGATATTTTTGATACTTGTCACGTTGAGTCTTGTATCTCAAGTTCTACTTTTGTATTCGTATATGAATTTGTTCATGCAATGTCTTAATTTCCTCAGCCCTTTGGTTAGCATCAGAACTATATTATTACTTATCAAGTTAAGGGGTCAAATCTAGTTGATAAGGGGACAAGTGCCATAAATAACTTCAAACGAACACTTTCCAGTTGCTTGGTTGACAGAGTTATTGTAGGAAAATTCAACTTGAGCGAGAATGAGGTCCCATTACTTTAAATTCTTCCCCACAAAACTGTGAAGAAGATTGCCAAGAACCATGTTTACAGCTTCAGTTTTATCATTCATTTAGGGATGACTAGATTGTTAAATTGGAGTTTAGTTCCCATCTTCTTCCATAGCGTCCGTTAAAAGTTCCTAAAAAACTTCACACCATAATCAGAGGTGATAGTCTTAGGAATGTCATGGAGACGAATAATCTCTTTGAAGCACAAATCTGCTACATAAATGACATCATTTATCTTCTGGAATGGAATGAAGTAGGCCATCTTTGAGAATCGATCCACAACTACTATGATGGAATCTTTTTATCTCTGAGTTCATGGTAAACTAAGAACAAAATCCATGTGCACATCTTCCCATGGCACTTTTGAAACTGGCAATAGCATGTATTATCTCGTGTTTTGACTCTTGGCCTTAGCCAAATGACATATTTTGCATCTTTGTATATGTCGATTAACATCTCATTCAAGCCTTAGCCAATAGAAATTCTCTTTGACTAAATCAATTATTTTGTCTCTAATGAAATGTCCGGCTACTCTACTATCATATGCTTCACAAATTATGGCTTCTCTCAAGGAACCTTGTGGAATGTATAGGGTTTTGCCTCGAAATAAAAACCCATTATATCTGTAAAATTGGTGGAAAGATTGATTTGCAATTGCTTTCCACATTCCTTGGAAATTACGATCATCCTAGTACAGCTCTTTGATAATATCAAACCCAACAACTTTGGCCTGTATTGTTGTGAGCAACACATATCGCGGCTAAGCACATCAGTTATGGAGTTCAAAGTTCCAGCCTTATGCTTAATAAGAAATGGATAAGATTATAAGAGTTCACTCTGATGGGCATGCTTGCAATTGATCTTTTACAGAGAATTCAAATACTCGAGAGCTTGAACAACGGTATATAATTCTTTGTCATAGGTAGGATACCTAAGCTTAGAATTATTAAGCTTCTCACTAAAAAGCGATAGGATGGCCCTCCTAACTCAAGACAGCACCAATGTTGATGTTAAAAGCATCACAGCTAACTTTAAACACTTGGTCAAAGTTGGGAAGAGTTAAGATAGGAGCTTCAGTCAACTTCTTCCTAAGCTCCTCAAAAATTTCTAAGCTTGCTCTGTCTATTGAAATTTATCTCCTTTATTGCAATCTGTAAGTGGTGCAGTAATAGAACAAAAATTGTGGATGAACCTTTTATAGAAAGAAGCTAATCTATGGAATCTTCAAACCTCCTAAATAGATTGTTGCATTACGCTGAAAATAGGGCCCTATTTATATTGTCATGGGTAAACGAAAGAAGAAGAATTAAAATGAAGGTTATGCATGTTACAATTAGATTTTGAATGTTATTAACTTATGATGTTTCTAAGCTTCAACGGACGTGGCTTTCAATGGATGCATACATTGTAGTGTAGATATTGAAGAACCATCATGCTTCTGTTTCAGTGAAGAAGAAGGAAGGAGAGCTAATCTCTCTCAATCCCTCTGCTACCATTGATGGATCCAGAAGAAAATGGGGAGGGAAAGAGAAAAATGAAACACAATATATGGAGGTTTTTTAAGGGCATTTTAGTAATTTTGCAATGATAAAAACAAAACATATCTTCTTTGGCAGTACCCAAATTTGAACTGTAAACAAACAAGAAAAGACTAAGATCATTCCTACTAAGCTACCAATTCCATTTATTATTACTATCCCAAAATTTATAAAATCAATCAAAATATGTTATTATTAATTTTTCAAAGTTATTACATTAAATTTGTCTCAAAAATTTTAAAAAATACAATTAAAATACCTTATCATTAATTAAAATCTCCAAAAATTTTGAGATTATTACATTATAGCTTATGTAACATATGCCGCAGTGTGTGGTGCAAAGAGTTAACTTGCCCCCTTTATATGAAGTGCCATGCACTACTACAAAAATATAAATATAAAACGCCATAAAAAATAATGGTTAAATAAAAACATATCATATATGAGAGAGATGGGTGATGGTTTTTAAATAAAAACACATTTCATTTATTTTCAGACTTTAATTAACGGGTGTTTAAAACACCTGTCATTTATTTTAGCCCAATGTTTCATTTTCTGGAAGGAAAACAAAATAAAAAAATTGAACTTTAAATGATGGGTATTTTTTAAATATAATATTTTAAATATTTTTTATAACTTTAATATAGTATATTACTTATTAATATAGGGTAAGAGTCTATGTGAGTTGTTGGCAAATAGCCCGAATTTTCATGTGGTTACTATCGATTGGGTGTTTAATTTTTCTAGGAGACATGCTACATAATATGCCACTCCTTGAGTCCTATATACGTGTTGCTATTGATGTGTTAAAAGATTTGAACTATCCGCTACCTATTCCCATCGAGGACACAAGAATTGTTGGAGAGGCGATGGGTAGTTTTGTTGGATGGAAAGCTAGTCAAGTTAGGATGCCAAGTCTAAAAAAACTAGCAAAGATGCACAGTCAAAAAAAAGATAATACCCCAATTTAGGTTCTCCTCTAAAAAGGAAGTCTCTTATAAAGCTGTGTCTGAACAAAGCCTCAATTGCTAAGTCAACACAAAAATTTACTCCATGTATATGCAATGATTCATAGGTCTAATCCTCTGGTCCTGAAAATTCCATTTGAGGCTGGTATATATGGTGAAGACGGATATGAGATGCTTTCGCTTGATGTTATTGATGAAGTACTTCAATATGATATAACCAGTCTCACTGTTCTTAACTTCTACAAACGGTAATTTTTTTTCCATATATGAATAATTAATATTTTAAATATAAACCAATTCATTTCTTGTATTTATAATAGGTGCTTGTATGATAAATTTGTTGTCTCTTTTGATTTATAAATGAAGTTCGTCTTCATTAGTCCTCATGAAGTGGGTGCACATGCCTTAATTAAAAGTGACAAAATTTTAAAACAAGCAAAGGCATTAAGTGAGAATTTTAAAGCAAGGGCTCGAAAGAGAACATTATTCATATTACCATACTGTCAAGGGTAATGTAATTTTCACTTATCTTAATAATTTTTTTATTTTTAATTTAATGGATTAATTATAATTTTGCAACACTTGTTACTACTATTAGGGACCATTAGATGTTGATCGCTACCAAACCATTCGGCAACACTCCAAAGATATATTATCTTGATTCTCTTAGAGGGGAACCAGGGAGGAGACAAATTTTATTGGAGTTGATTAATATATAAGTGCATAAAATATTTCACATATTTATTTAATTATTTAAATTTCATACTAACATATTTTTTACTGTTTCATTAGGATAATTGTGTTATACTGTACTAACACAAAACAATCAATTCCAAGATCCTTTACAAATTTTGATGCAGCCTACACTTAGAATATAATTAAGGTAATTGAAATTATTTATTAAATTAAAATTTAATGCATTAATACATATTTATCGATTCTTTAATTTTTAGTGTCCAAGGTAAAAGAAAAATAGTTTGAATTATGGCTATTGCATCATGAGATTCATGAAGGATATCATTATCCATAACGAGAGCATAATTTTCGAGATGGTATGTCAACAATATTAACTTTTAAATTATAAAAATATTTAATGTATTAAAATTAATATATGGCAAATCATTTATATATTGTAGTACTATGATGATTCTTATGTTGAAGAATTAGGGGATGCAGAAATAAATGAAGTAATTGAAGAATATTGTCAATACATTTTTTTAAGTATAGATCTCATACAAAGAAGATCAATAGAACTATCTTGAAAAAGTAGGTAAGAAGTTTATATTTTTAATAGGTAGTTTATTTTCGAAAAATAATTTACTTTATGTAATTACATTTGTTTACTGATTAATTTTAAAATTAAAAATTAATAAATTTCGTTGATATTCAACTTTGGAATGGCTGGTTGCTGCTATTTTGATTTCTTTTTGTAGGAGGCATGGTATAAAAATAGTCCCTATATTAAAAAAAACCATATAATAAATGACAGTTATATAAATAACTGTCATTTATATTACAATAAATAACGGGTAAATAATTTATCTGTCATTTATCTGGACTCTAAATGACGGGTAAACTACTTACTTGTCATTTAAAGTATGGTAAAATCTATTACCATACTTTAAATGATAGGTAAATAAGTTACCTGTCATTTAAATCCACAATAAATGATGGGTAACTTATTTACCCATCATTTAAAGTATTCTTTAAATGATGGGTAAATTTACCTGTCACTTATTCTGAATTTAAATGACGGGTAACTTATTTACACATCATTTATATTCTCATTTGGTTTGAATTTCTGTAAAAATTTTATTTTAAATGAAGGTTTTATAATCGTCATTTATTGATGAACTTTAAATGTCAGTTTCATAAATGATGCGTATTAACCATCATTTATTCTTTTTTTTTTGTAGTAGTAATACTGTGAAGGAAAGTATTTGGCCAAGTGTAAAAGATTTAAGAATATACATCCCCATTTTCAAGCATAATAGCAAATTGAAAAAAAAATAATGCTTATAACAATTTTCCATATCAAAAGAGTTAGTCACACAAGTTATTGACAAGTAATCGAAAGTAATTAAGATTCAACTCATGATTATCATTATCAAGGTCACATACAAACAACTATTTGCCCTTACTCACTACATGCATGATCACACCTCCCTTATATCCTCCTTATTCCTTTGACATGAAACCATGGGTTATAACATAATAGGATAGTCTATATTCCATGACTTCCCTAACCTAAACACTTGTGAGAGGATTACCCAGCCAAGGCATACCCAACTCACTTGTGGAATACGGTTTCTTCCATTTCTCACACTATGGGGTGTCATATACCCTAGACTAGCTTCCTTATTAAACCAGTGGATAGCTAGCTAGGTTCCGGTCCCTCATTGAATTAATGGGACAGTCCCTCGTTGAATAAATGGGATAATATAGATATAATCTATTCGGCAAACAATCACATGAATTGGGCCTTACCACCTGGATTTTATCATCTACTCCTCTTCTTAGACGAACTCCCGCCTCTCAAGATCATACAATGCATATTCATGCAATAATTCAAACTTTATACAATTCATAGAACTTCACCTAATCAATTTCATTAAACTTCATCATTAGACAAATCATTAGACTTCTTAAACATAATTTCATGGAATTTCAAACCAAATAAGTCATTGAACTCCAATTTCACAATCATTGTACTTCAAACTTTCAAAATTATTGAACTCCACTATTTTAAACATCATTGAACTTCTCTTAAAGAAAAATTCATATTACTTGTCAAATCACAAAGTCATTGAACTCTCAATAAACATAATATGAAAATCCACCGATATTGTTCACAAAGAATTTCACATCACAAGGCATAAAACTCACAAAATCAATCTAGTGAATTTTCTAACAAATCAAGCTACACTTGCATTTCATTTTAACTTACACATTTCAATGATCAATCATAAATTCATAAACTAATAAACACAGAAAAGCATAAGATAGAATTTTCCTGGTTACCTCAAAACTTTGAGAGGTTAAAAGTTTCACCTCTCAATTACTCACTCCCAAAACTTTCAAGAAGCTTGAATGGTGTCAATAGTAGTTATTCTACAAGCATTTACCATACAAAACATCAATATCCATATTTGAGCTATTTTTTACTAACATTTCAACATTTCTTAATACTCAAGATTTATTATTGATTCATGCAAAAAAACTCATAAGGCTTCTTAGCTTCCTTTAACCCTCACTAATAACATTGAGCTCTTAAACGATCATTAATGGAACCACATTATTCCCAACCACCATATTTATGAGAATTTCGGACATTTAATGTCCTCTAACTACTAATCATCATAAAATTATAAATACCGAGTTTACTTAGCTTCATCTACTCCTATTAACTCTATTTAAGTCAATAGGTTCAGACCCATATCTTTTATGGACCGAAATCCACCATTATTAATCAAACCCTAACTTCTACCACTAGGAAAATGGAAGAAGAGAGAAATATTTAAGTAAGGAAGCTTACCTTTGATGTTTATAAGCTCCAAATTACTCTTACAAGTCGATTTCTTCAAGCCCTAGCTTAGCTCTTTCGTCTCTCTCTCTCAGTTCCCTTTGTTTTTCTCTTCTCTTTTGCTTTAGTTTTGCAACTTAATACAGCAGAAATCTAACCATGTGCCGTAGCGGATGCACAATGCGTTATGGTGCATGGCACAAAGAGCCTCTCCCAGGTGTGTTGTCATACATGCACCATAGCAGCTCATCCACAAGCCGTGGTGTGTGGCACAAAATCACCTTCTTCAAAAATTCTTCCTCTTCATTCCCGGGTGACCTGATTCTCCTTTAGACCCGCGTTTAGAGCTAAAACCGAGACCAAACATGCTCGTTAGGCCTCTCTGACTATACACCTCACTAATACACTTAATTAGTCTATTTGAGCTTAATTAATCTGATTTAAAATTGAGGACGTTACAATTTTAGATCAAGCCAAGCAATTAACTGTAAATTTTAAAGCAAGAGCTCAAAAGGAAACATTATTCTTAATACCATAATGACAAGGGTAACCTGCTTCTTACTTATATTAATGAATTTGTTATACTTAATTTAGTCAATTAGTTATAATTTTATAATACTTGTTAATGCTATTAGGAACCATTGGATGTTGATTGCCACTGAACCATACAGTAGCACTCCAAGGATATATTATCTCAATTCTCTTGGTGGGAAACTAGAAAATAGACAAATTTTATTAGAGTTGAATAATACGTAAGTGCAAAAAATAAGTATTTCATATATTTATTTGTTTATTTCTATATTGACATTTTCTTTCTTTTTTTATTAGGGCAATTGTGTTGTACTACACAAACACTAAACAAACAATTTCAAGTCATTTACAAATTTTGATACGGCCTATACTTGAAATATAATAAAGGTAATTAATATCATTATTAATTTAAATATTCATAATTTTTTAATGCATTAATATGGACTTATTGGTTCTTTAATTTGTAGTGTCCAAGACAAATGAAAAATAGTTTGGATTGTGGCTTCTGTATTATGAGGTTCATGAAAAACATCATTATGCATAATGAGAGCACAATTCCTACGATGGTATGTCAATAATTTTCACTTTATAATTGGTAATGAATTTAATTTAGTAAAATAAATTTATGGTGGATAATTTATAGGGTAAAGGTATAAATTTACTTTGAAACTTTTTGTCACACCCTGTGTTATTGAGGATATGATCGGCACAGAATATGATATATACTCACATTCCATAAGCCTTAATTAACCAGATATAAAGATAAAATATCAATAAATAATCCCTACTAGTCAAAAAGTCTCTAATATATATGTATATATATAATTAGAAAATTAGAAAAATCTTAAACATTTTTTAGAAAATTTGGTAGAATCTCCCTAGTAACTATGACCTCCCCAAATTTTTACAGTAATCAAACCTGTCAACCAAACCAGATAGGAGCTTAGTTCCACACTAGTATATTTCACAATGACAAAACAAGACTAAGATCAAACTACAGCATACGTGAAGCATTAAATTTATAATTTCAATTAAATACATAATGACATCAAAGTGGATGGCCAAAAAGTACTCCCACTATCCAAAAAGTAATATTGTGCCTCCATGATCAGTAGGAGGTACTGGGTCAGCTATAATGTCTGAGACTAAAGAAAGTTTTCAGTGAGTAGCGATCCAAAATTATAAAAAAAAATGAAAATAGTAACTAACAACTTAATTTAAAAAAGTCAAGGGAATGATGAAACACTTACTTTAACTAACAATAAATGACGAGTTTACTTATTGGTATAATCATGAAACCAATAACAATATTAGAACCAAATAAGTTTATCAAAAAAAAATTTGTTCATGATATATGTAAAATTTCAAGTAATGGTGCAATTTAAAAAAATGCCTTTAAAGAAACTAATATAAAAATGATAATTTTTAAATCCAATTCAGTTGGACTTTATCAGAATAAATAACAAGCATAGATATATAATCTACGAAGGTAAATAATCAATCAAGCATGGACACACAATCCACAAGGATAAGTAACCAGTCAAGTACGACTAAAAGCCACGAAACAAGTATGGCAGGAGTCACGAACCAAGCGCAGGCATAAGGCCCACGAAAACAAGCGTGAGCACACTACTCACGAATCACCAACCCTCTAATCCATATGTGTTGGTTAGCACTTCCTACAAGCACCCTATTAGCTAGATTTACCATGGCGTGCCAAAGGCTAACGGAACTGCCGTTAGCAACTAGCATTCTAAACTCAGTTTCCCTAATAAAAATCAAGCATTCATAAGGCAAGAAAGCAACTTTAAAATTTTCATGTTCAATCACGCTGTTCAATGATTATTTCCCATTGCTCCACTTCACTTTCATATCAAACATGAAATTAAATAATCAAATTGCATTAACACAAATTATTGGTAAAATCAAGATATACTCATAAATAAAACAATTATTGTAAGAATTTTAATTGAAAAAAAAGATATTGACACAATTTATAAGAAAATAATATTAAAATTTAAATAAAAAAATTTTCATAAATACATTACTAGAAATTTATTTCAAACGCTACCCACTCGCCTAAGAATTTTTCAAGAATATTAAAACTTGTTTCTCTTAACTTTTCTTTTTACTTTAATTTTAGTGATGCCTTTAATTTTCTGACAAGTAAATCATAATTTTAAAATAATTTATTAAGTAATTTTTCAAGTATTTAGTGAGCATTTAAATTCAATCCAAATAAATTCTATGATTTTCAATATTTAATTTTTTCATCAATTTTTTACTTAACATTCATAAAATAGCATCTAATATTATTCAAAACAACACCTAAATTTTTAATTCAAATATTTTCACAAACATCTTGAAGGCATCCAAATTCAACTCCCAACCATCATCCAACTATTTAATCAACTTCTAATATGAACTTAATCATTTAACATTCACCCCATTGCCAACTTAAAAATATTGCACAACAACAATTAAAGTATAATTCAATTCCTCAAAATTATGACAGCAACTTTGATGGGTAAAAGCAGAATTTTCAACCGTAGAAGAGAAGAAGTTCCGCCTACACTTATAATTACACGGCCAACTTCAGCTGCGGAGGAAGGAAAAACGAAGGTTAAACACATACATGAAGCCGACAGTTGAGGAGAAAGAATGGATGGCAACCAAACACACACATATTACTGTCGGCTACTAAACAGAAAAACGAACAAAGAACAGCGAATAAAGAAGGAGAATCCAACGACTTCAACTCTCTCAGCTGTGAATTTTTATTTTTAGTGAAGCAAGAAGACGGAACACACACACCCACGCAAATCTGGAAGGAGCAGAGCAATAACACAAACCTGGAGAGAGCGGAGAACGGTGACAGAAAAACCAGCGTCTTCACCACTACCAGAAGCCCATCACGACAGCAAGGAAGAATAGCCGTTGATGGACAGACGAGCTGTACAGCCACTCAGAAAAGTGAGTGATTGGCAGTGCGAAACAGGGGATAGGAAGAATTCGGGAGCTGGACCTTTAACAATGGTGGAAGGTGTTCTAACACACACTCACACCATCGACGGCAACAGGAATGACACCGGAATAATGAAGGGGAAGGGAGCGATCTCTCTCGGCTCTGGAACTTTCAAAAGGGCCGAAGGAGGGGAAGGAAAAATTGAGGCGGTGCGTGCGTTTGACGAGGGAAGGAAAGAACAAGAATCTGAGCACTAAAAATTAGGAAATTCAAAAAATTACAATAGAGGACACAATATTTTTATCTAATTACATAAAAGATATGGGTCCTTTAAAAATTTTCCCACAATTTTAAACTAAATAAAATTAATCTATTATTTAAAAGAATTCAAACTTTGGATCTTTGATAAGTTATTAGTATAAGTTCTACTAATTCACCACCTCCAATTTACATAAAACTAATTTAAATAAACTATAAATTGGGAATTTTTTTAAAAAAATTTAAGGTCATTACACTTTTCCACCAGGGACACTTGGTATCCTAAACTTTTTGTGAGAGCAATGTTGCCCTAAAATTTTGTAAAATGTTGCAATGTTGTCCTGCCATTAAAGTTGACCGTTTGTTGACTGTTTTGTTTAATTAGACTTGTCATGTGGCGTTTTTTAAAAATTAAAAAAATGATAAAGGTGTAAATTTACCTTAAAACTTTTCCTCTAGTGGCGCCTAGTATCTTTAACTTTTTTTTTTTGGAGCAATGTTGCCCTATTGTCAGAGTTGACCATTTTGTTTGACTTCACTTGCCATGTAGTATTTTTTAAAAACTAAAAAAAAAAACAATGCTTCGTCCTCATCAGCTTCTTCTTCTTCATCCACAACACTAAAAATGTCAAATAACTTAGAACACTAAGATGAAAAATCAAACTCAAATTTTCAACATAAAAAAACAATCAAGCCCAAATTTTTAACATAAAAAAATTAAAGACAGGGGGTAAAGAGGAGAAAAATAAAGAACTCAACTCAAGAATCTAACAATTCAAGAACAGCCCAAAATATTCATAAAAAAAGAACAAAAAATTAACAATCCAGGTTGACCAACACCAAGTAGGGAGAAGTAACAACTTAGTAAGCGATAGTTGTAGGGCTTCTCATTTAGCTCTTGTCGTGCAAATGCCAATGGTGGAGGAGGGAGGAATGAAGAGAAGAAGAATTGTTGACTATGAAGGAGGAAGAGTGATGTGCAATTGAGACACAAGGAGGGAGGGGATGACATTTTTTTTATTTTTTTTTAAATGCCATGTGGCTACCACGTGGCAAGTGAAGTCAAATAAAATGGTCAACTCCGACATCAAGATAACATTACACCGTTTTAGAAGGTTTTATGGCAACATTGCTCCTAAAAAAAGTTGAGGATGCTAGGCACGCCCAGAGGAAAAGTTAAAGTGTAAATTTGCACTTTTATCATTTTAAAATTTAAAAAAATTGCCATGTAGCAAGTCCAGTTAGACAAAATGGTCAACTCTAGTGGCAGGACAACAATGCACCATTTTGGAGAGTTCCAAGGCAACATTGCTCCTACAAAAAGTTTAGGATACCAAGTGCCCCTAAAGGAAAAGTTCCGAGGTAAATTTGCACATTTATCCTAATTTATATATTGCAGTATTATAAGGATCCTTATATTGAAGAATTTAGGTATACACAAATAAATGAGATAATTGAAGAGTGGTGCCAGTATATATTTCTAGTGTGATCATTGCACAAAGACAAAAATCAATAGAGTTAGCGGAAGTAGAATTAGTGTTTATAGTTTTACTAGTTTTCATTAATTACTTGATATTAGTTGGTAATACTTTACTTTAAAAATTTCAATACATTGATTACTTGATAAATTAGAATAAGAAATTAGTTTTTGTTTCATTTTGCATTGATTATAATTCAATTTCAATTGATATTTATGTATGAAAATGTTGGAACTGTTGTTTGGTTATTACTTGTGTAGTTGTTACAGGGAGGTTGCTATAAAAAATAGACCTCAATACTTTAAAAAAACTATAGAATAGATGACGGGTAAATAAGTTGCTCGCCATTTATAGCTACAGTAAATGACGGGTAAATATTTAATTATTATTTATTCTATGGTAATTCTTCCTTAACCAAACAATAAATAACAGGCAAAAATTTACTTGCCATCCATTGTGACTATAAATAATGAGTAAATAATTACTCATCATTTATTCTAACAAAAGGCAAAAAACATATATTTTAAATGATAAGTTATTTAACCATAATTTATATAAGGAAATAAATGATAGATCAATAACTTTCATTTATTTGGAGGACTTTAAATGACAGTTTATTTATAAGCAAAAATAATCATTATTTATGTTGTTTTTTTTTAATAGTGATAGTTCAGCGTTCAAAATGTCATTTAATCCTTAATTTAATTTTAGACTGTTTTTTTAATTTAAAGTAAGCAAACCACTTACATTCTTGAGCTACAAAGATTCATAAATGAGGTATGGCTTTTGCAAATAAGCTGATCCGCGCGGTTTTTGACTGAAAATGTAATTTTCTTCAATGTGTCTCTTGAGTTGAAAAAAACAAGGGGAAAAAAAGCATAACTGCTCCATTCCATTATTTCAAATTTAGTTTCATTTGTTCACCATTTGTCTCACAAGTGACAAAGTGCTTTGGCTATTCAGGCAATTTTTTCCCATTCAATGAATCACGTGCAACACATGGCTCATATGTCTAGTTACTAAATCTTCAGCTTTTTTTCCCCGTCAAAATTTCGTTGTGAAATAAGGGTGGAATAGACTAAATGGTAATTACAGGAAATTTTGGGAAAATTACGTGTTGACCGCTGTTGAAATTATTTCCTGATTGAATATATATATATATATATAATTATAATAATATACGTTCACTCAAACAGAATATATACTCTCTAAAAAATTTCTTAGGAATTTTTTGATAAAAATTTCTCAGGAAATTTTAATTTACATATAGAATAGTTATAAAATTAATTAATGATTAAAAAAGCCTCATATTTTTAACAGAGGAGTAACATGCATTATGGCTTGGGATTAAAATATTATGCTAATTAATCATAAAAATAATATGCACTGATTTCCCTAAAATATCCCTCCTTTTAATTATTTATATCTAGAACTACCTTGTTGATTGCACGCATCATCAAGGATAGTTTGGAAGAAAGTATATAAAAAATAAAGAAGATTGATATCTTATATTTGTTAACTAATTATTACATTTAGAACTTGAGAAATAAGCTGGGATCACTATAGTGAGTCTAACTTATTCAACAACAAATGAGATTTTTTTTTTGGGATAAATAATATTGTAAAGATGTGACCGGTTTTTTATTTTATAAAATCATAACAAAATTAATTTCTGTATAATATGTAATAGAAAAATAATTAAACATATTGTACAAAAAAATATTGTTATAAAAAGTAAGATAATTATTTTACAATCATAACGATTTACTCCCTCTAGTCCAAATTATAAGACGTTTTTCCCAACTCATCTTAATTCAAAATATAAGACACTTAGTAGGTTTTAATTTTTTTCCTATTTTACCTTTATATTTATCAACTTAGTTTATTGTATAATCTGATTGGTATTTATTACATTTTTCTCACTCTTTATGATAGCTAAAATTTTATTGGTCTACAAGGTAGATCACTCTTTTTCATGTTATAGTACTTCATTAAAAAATATTATTTTTTTATTTAATTTATTATTGACAGTTGGAAAGAAAGGTAAAAAGCAAAACTTATAATATTTATATTTAAAAATAAAGATATAATTAAATTTTATTAGTATTTGAATTGTAATTAAAAATGTATTTTGAATTGAAGGGAGTAAATGAATGTAAGAATGTTTGGGTGTTGATATATTTCCACTAACAATGACATTTAATATGCGCCCACATTTGCTCATCGTCATCGACAATGTTGTTGACAATGGGGACGCCGTGAAATGCCATGACGCTTTTTCCCAACAATCATTGTTCCTTTGCAACTTTTGAACGTCCTCGATGACTATCGCTCTCTGACATGCCTCTTTAGTTGCCGGAGGGCGTGTGTGCGGGTCACTGATTTTTCTTTTCTTTTCTTTTTTTTTTTTTTTTGCATCACACCCTCGTGCGCATCATTCTTGATGTTGTAACCATATTAAATAGGGAAATTTACATACAGATCTTATAGAACAAACTACTTTATAAATAAATATTGTGAAATGTGAAAACCAAAGTTATGTGTCTTAAAACTTAAGTATAATTTGAAATTAGACTATAAAAACAATAATACTCCCATAAATATACATTAACATTAATTAAATAATTAATTTATAACTATTTTATCAGTAATTTACAATTATAATTTTAATTTTTGACAATACAACTGTAACTTCACATATTCAATAGTTAAACTATCATGTGTTACTACTAAAGTTTAACATTAATTATTTACAATTACTTCATCAGTAATTTTTATCTATAACTTTAAGTTTTTACAATTGTAACTTGACATATTTAATAGTTAAACTTATTAGTTTAATTATTGAATAAAAAAAGTTACAATTATAAAAAATTAAAATGATAATTATAAATTACTGATGAAATAATTATAAATTATTTAATTGATGAAATGTATACATGTTTAATAAGAATATTATTATCTTTTTTATACTAATTTCAAATCACACTTAGGTTCAAAGGGGCCTAGTTGTAGTTTTTGAATATTGGTAGGATGTGCCCACTACAAGCAAGAGATATACAATATACTCCTCAGACTATAATATAAGTCATATAGTTAATTAATTCACAATTTATGAACAATGTTAATAGAAACCTTACATTCTTAAAATGTCCACATGTTTTCATTTATACCCTTATTAAATACCTTATATAAGAACCTTGGTAATAACAATTAAAATTTTAATGCATGATTTTTTTTAAAAAGAGTAATAAATGAAGTAGAGGTATAGTTAAAAAAAAACAAATATAAAAGTTACCCAATACCATATATTTTGGACCAAGCAAGGTTTCTAGAAGATGGAAAATGACTAAAAAATGTCGGGTAAATACCAATATGGATCCCTATATTTTAAGTGTATTTTATTTTTTAATCCTATTGTTTATTTATGTTGTTCTTCATTTACAATGTTTGTCGTTCTAATTTAAAATATATCTATAAGGTTTATGATTCAGTCTAAATAGTGTTTAATTTGTTGACATTGAAT